CTCTTTCTTAACAGATCCTTATTATTATTAATTAATTAATTAATTAACTTAAAGACATCTGTCCCTTTCCTTCAGGGAAGCTGACCTCTCTTGATTCCCACCCCTAACTCCAGGGAGTGTAACCCAATTCTGGGCAATGAGACCTAAGTGTAAGTCAGTAGAGAGTGCTTCTTTAAAAAGTTCCCTCCATTCTAAGAGAGCCAGGGGAAGCGACAGTTTCCCTTTCTCAGGACAGTCATGTTTGGATGTGAATACTAAAAAGTACTACAGGCATCTCCTAGTAGCCAACAGCAGGGCTGGGGAAACAAAGTGGTAAAATCTGGGTACCTGATGACATTTTTGAGCCACTGATTCTGTCAACCCTCAAGCCTTATCTATCTTGGACTTCCTAATATGTGAGAAACATTGTTTCATTAGAAATTTCTGCTTCTTGCATACAAAGTCATCCTAACCAATACAAATAATCATTGATGGTCCTGAACAAAAAGCTCAGAAATCAGACTATTTCCATTAGATTTTTTTTTAAACCTCACAATTCCATACAGTCAAGTGTTTTCATCCTAAAATAAATTGGCTGTGTCCTCTCATTCTCACTTGGAGAATAGAGTGATGCTTATAAATTTGTGGAATCAAATAGCACTTGTAAAACTAAAAAATGGGAACAGTGGGCCTTTAAAATGAAAATTATGTTTTAGACAAATAATACCATAAAGAAATAAAACCTGTAAGTCGTATTACACTCTTCAATCTTCTATAATATTATCTTTCCAATATCCATGTTAACTTTCTTACCTAATGTTATAAGAAAAATTTCATAAGATATTTTAGAATGCCAAATGTTAAGCTGCTATTTTAAACACATATAAAACACAGTATAAATGATTAAGAACAACGCAGCAGTAAAAATTTAGCACAAAGGGGGCAAATATATATTAAGATGCATATTATTAATACAAAATATTAGTGAGCAATCTGCATTCTCATCAGATGGATTTTTATAGCTTAATTTTGACCACCTTCCAATTTTTGCATTAAAAATTGACTTAAAAAAAAAAAAAAAAAGCCAGCCCTGTCACTACAAGGAAAACAACTGACAGTATTGTTGGCAATAATAAAACCCAAGCATTTTAGCAAAAATTTAAATTTTTGGTACACTTGAATTTGACAGCTTCCCAAGGGCTTTCTAATCAGACTGGTAGTGATATTAACGACTATGATTTCTGTGTAGTATATGATGAAATATGTCATTTGTAGCCCAGTGAACCAATATTTTCCAAATAACTCATCCATCACATTACAAAATCATTCAAAATGTTAGATAGATAATTCTAATGTAATAGACTATAAATTAATATTAGTTTCAAATTTCACATTGCAACTAACATTTAAGAAACTAATACTTTTGGAATATTGGTGTGGTAGCAAAAAATATCTAAACTTAACTGAAAAGGCTATTAAAATACTCCTCTATTTTCCAATCATATATCTGTGTAAGGCCATATTAATATACTTCAACAAAAACAATAAATCACAACAGTTGTATTCAGAAGCTGATATGAAAATCCAGTGATCTTCTGCCGGTCATTTGCAATTAGCAAAAATCAAAAAATCTTAGAAATATAACTGTTTCATAAAACATGTTACTTATGTTAATACATAATGGGTTTATTACTACTATTCTTTAATGAAATAATATAAATTTCTGATTTAACTTCTAATATGGTAAATGGAAATGTGAAAAAGATGGGATGCAGTTCTCAACTTGATGAATTATCAAACTGATGAATCATACAAACAATGTTACAGACTGGAAAGTGGCCATATTAAATTTTTTTTAGGTGAAAACTGTTACACTGGATGGCTTGATAAAGAATTAGAGAGTTTCCTTAGAGAAGAATATTTATCAAATATACTAAAGGTTATAATGCAGAAAGAGGCACATACTTATTCTGTGTGTTTCAGATGGCATATCTAAGACTAATGGATAATGGATACAAAATCAAATTTCAGTGAAATATGAAATACATTTCCTAACCATTAGAGCTGTGCAACAACAGAAGCTTCCTCAGTTCCTTCAGTTGACAAATATTGTCTATTACGTGCCAACACTTGCTGGATTTTGGGATTCTAGTAAGGAATAAGATGCTGACCCCTGCTGCTTACACTCGAAGCGGGGAGAAAAGCAAATTACACGACTTCCAGGGTCTAATAAGTATTCTGAGGAAGGAAACAGGCTTTTGGGACAGAGAAGCAGCAGTCAAGAGTGAGAAGCTACTCAAATAGAATGTTAAGAAAAGATCTCTGAAGAGGTGATATATAAACTGAGACCTGATACACAGAAGTAGCCATGCAAAGAAAAGGGCAACAGCAAAGTGCAAATGCCCCATAAGTGCAAACTGTTCCAAGAATACTAAGGAAGCAGTGAGACTGAAGCAAAGTAATAGGAGATTTAAGAAGGACGGAGGCAAAGAACATGACGTGGAGCAATGGTTCTCACCAACCTTAATAGCATAGTAGACCAACTGCATCAGAATGCCCTTGGCCGGGCCTAGGCATCAATATTTAAGTTTGTTTTACTAGTTCCTTGGATGACACTAATGTACTGGGCCAGAGATAAGAATCACTGATACCTAGTCTGCTAGGCTATGATAAGGAATTTGGATTTTATTTATTCATTCATTTACTTTAGAGGGGGGGG